TAGTAAGCGTCTGGGAACCAGAGGAAGTCCCGTCGGGTTGGTGATTATACCCATATACAAGAAGGGAGACAAGTCTTCCTGTGATAATCACAGAGGGATTAGCTTGACTAATATAGTATCTAAAGTCCTAGACTCAATAATATTGCGTAGACTAAGTGGTGCTCGGGAGGCACAAACACGAGAGAACCAGGCAGGCTTTAGACCAGGAAGAGGGTGTATTGATCATATCTTCACCCTTTGACAGATTCTAGAACATATGCATTCTTACCGGCGTCCAACAATCATTATATTTCTTCACCTAAAGGTAACATTCGACCCTGTCGACCGAGAGGTACTCTGGCGATGCTTGGCTGTAAAGGGAATCCCGGGAAAATACATTGCACTGATCAAGGAACTCTACTCAAACTCATGTAGCTTACGGCGAGCTGTCATCTGAACTGGTGACGACTAGTGGTGTCCGTCAGGGATGCCCATTATCCCCATTTCTATTCAATTTCATCATAGATATCGTAGTAATTGACTCAACCCTAACTCACTTCAGAGAATCAGGGATTGACCTGCTACCAGGGAATAGAATATGCAGACGATATACTCCTTCTAGGCGAGGACGCTGAGAGAATGCAGTCTTCTGAACATACTGAGCTGCAATCTACGAATGTTTGGCATGCGATTCGCTCCCGCCAAATGCAAGATGATGTTACCGGACTGGACTACATCGACGCCTAGTTTAAAAATAGGAAGTGAAGTGGTAGAGCACGTTGACCGCTTCACTTATTTGGGGAGTACCATCAGCCTCAACGGGTTGATCTCTGACGAAATCTCAGCACGGATACAGAGGGCTAGTTTCGCATATTCCAATTTACGCCGTCTCTGGCGTAGACGCGATATCCGACTATCGACCAAAGGGCGAGTGTACTGCTCAGCAGTTCGCTCCGCCCTCCTTTATGGCTGTGAGACCTGGCCATTGAGAGTGGAAGACATGAAAAGCGTGACTAGCTGTCTTTGATCATGGGTGCCTGCGTTCTATCTCCCGTGTGAAGTGGTATAATAAGGTAAGCACATTGAGGTTAGGCATCGGTCGAGTTCTAGGTAAGGAGGGGAAGTCAATCGACGAGCTTGTGAAGTTACATCGACTGACATGGTTAGGAAACGTGTTACGAGACCTAGTCATCGCCTTCCTCGACGAGTAATGTTAGCTGATATAAGGTCAGGCTGGAAAAGAGCTAGCGGAGGTCAAACAGAAACATGGCACCAGTCAATGAAATCTACAACAGTTAGTTTAAGCCATGTAGGAAGGTGTAGACTTCCTGGTTGGGGTCCTCGGGACAGTAAAAATCAATGGTTGGAAACAATTGGTGATATGGCTCAAAATCGTTCTCAGTGATGGAGCAAATGCATCCACTCCTTGTGACTTACGATTTCCAATGAGACTACATTGTTCTTCGTTACTACTATTCCTTTGTCTCATACCTCTGTTTACTGTCTCTATTATACATTTCTTCTACTTTCTTCTTTTGCTATGTGTGATACATGGAGTGTGGCGACTTCAACTACCGTACATTGGTGCAAAGCTCTATGTCGGAAACAGAGAGACAGACACGTTTTTAAATAATACCAAGTCATTTAAACTAATAGGTCAGCCCAAAATATATTTGCCTGAAATGTAAGTTGTAATATGGTATTTATGAATTCATAGGTCCTATGCTATTTCTTCTGCCATACTGGAGTACACAGTACCTAGTGGCTTTAGTCAGTCTGTTTGGCACGCCTTATGGTATGTTTAAAATGGGTGTTCTAGTAGCTAACTACTTATGGTCACTACTACACCTTTATTCAACCACTCTGATAGTTAGTCCCAAAAACAGTCCGGTATTAGATCATTCGGTACAAACATGCCACAATTTCAGTGCTGAAGAATCTTTCTCTATCACCAATCGGGTATTGAATAAACTGCTAAAGAGACCTAGATACCAGGTACTTCAAATAGCAGAAGCTATTGCAATTCGCTCAAAACACCCGGAGCTCTGAATGCAGAAGAAAACGATCCAGTCATTTTTGCTATCTTGACCTGCTGTGGAACCTATAAATTTATAGACTGCATTATTATTCTAAATCTGTGTGGTGTTAAGTGTTGTATTATACTTATGAATATTATCGCATTCATGTCTTAAACTGTTTTCTTATTAATTCAATGTTACTGAAAGCATCTATGTACGAAGAATTCTTACACTATTATCGACACCTGACTGTAGGATTTGATGAAATTATAGGACGGAATATTCCTTGTTCACTAGTCAGTCTTCTGAAATTAATAATGACTACTTCTGATCAACTGAAAAAATACCCAAGTGTTTCTTATATACCATTTACTACTGCTTTGAAAATCTCGACCTGCATTGTTAAGCATTACATTTTTTCTCCACATATGAGCCAGCTTACATTATGCTGAGATTTTTGTAAACGAAAATCTATATGCCAATGTCTTGAAACTGTTACAGATACCCAGATGGTGCGATCTTTTTAGCATTTTTCAGTTTGTGAATATCAAAATTTGCAAGTCAATCCAAAATTTTAGATCAATTATAATCTGAATGAATTGTACATTCCATAAACCGTGAAAGAGTTAGAGGTGAGATTTCCTGTGTCAAGTCATCAGTCTTTTTTATAGCTATCTCGAATGACCGATTTCGCACTTTTCCGTGCTCACTGTTTGTTAATGTTAAATTATATAATAATAGACGGACTGTCGTAGGCCCTTTTGTTGGACCTGAGTAAAACTGTATGCATACTATTGCGTCCTTGTGGGAATAGCAAGTATTCAACATAATACCATTTGGTAATCTCTGGCTTTAAGTGTTTTTGCATTCAGTGGGAATTATTCAGCTTTTCACAGAAAATTTATCAAGTTCTACTGCTTTGTATGACTCTTACGCAAAAAGGTATCCAGTTTGACCCTTCGTTCTATTTTAATACTGCAGTAAACTTGAGTAATCCCTTCTTAAATTCAATACAAAACTGAGTATTGGGGAAAATTATTAAGCAAAATACTTGGTGTCTTCTGGGCTCTGGTGTGTAATCTCAAACATTCCACCACTAGAATAAGTAGCCGCATTCTCACTATATAATCCGAATCTCCTTTATTAATACAAATTGCAGTATGTTGACTGTTAAATATATGACTAATACATTATTCATCGGAACTAACGACGACTCCAAAATAGTTATCTTTTAAAGAGGTAGACGAACTTTTTTGACGAAATGCAATGTATAAGGGATATTTACTGTATGAAATAATCTTAGTTAACGGACAGTAGAACTTTCCAGATATCTGGGAGAGGTGTTCAGTCATTCCTATTACATTACTACCATAGTGGCCAAGTTTTACACATATTTTAGTTAACGGACTTTTATTAACCACAAATAGCTAAGAATTTGAAAACTAGTTAAAAGTGAAAGCAGCAGCAAATTTTTTTGCTCATTGCAATACATCACTTAAACGATCTTAATAGTTCATGCGAACATCGAGATATTCGAATAATGAAAATGAACTTTCTTATGTACGCATGCCTAATTAATGCACTTCACATTTATAACAATCCATTCAAAAGCTGACAATCTACGAGACATTTATGGTATACAGAATGATTACTCTGACATCCTACAGTATCAAAGCAAAACAGGAACAGAAGACTGTTGACAGATGAGTTGTTGTTTTAGTAGCCAGTTTCATCTTTACGAAAAACAAAAGTGCTTCTCTTACAAAAACACTTAGTGTTTACATTACCCAATAGACAAGAGAACGTTTGACTAACTATGCTGAACTGGTAAGTAATGTGGTGTGGGTTTCAAACAAATAAATACATGCCCACTAATCTGCTTATCAGTTTCATCATTTTTAATAACACAATAACAACGTGAACAGTATATATAATTCACATTTAAGCAAACTGTTACAAATATGTTAGGTTTTGTCATAACTTCATTTTTTTAGATGCAATCGCTGCATAATACGTAAGTTCATCGGAAATAATTACACTTCGGATACTGGTCAAAATAGTTTGAAAGTTAGTCAACTATTCCAGAAAGAACTAAGTATTGAACTTTCTTCAGTTACCTTCATTTGGCCTCTAGCTATTTACACAAGTTTTTAACATTCCCTCTATGACAGAGCTTTCAATGCGAACATGAGGTTATTTTTTCATATAACACTAATATTTTGAGAATAGCAAAATGAACAACTCAACTATTGCAACAAACTTTAATTTTCAGGCTGCTAAAAAACTAGTAATATAAAATGTGGTGAAACCTTAGTCTTAGATAACTGAGTAAAATTCAAAATATATATCCTTACATAATGTTATGAATCAACCAATAAACAAAATATGTATTCAAGGAGTTGCTCGGTACGCCTATCGTTACATATCAATAACTGGATTCGCCGGACTGGCAAAATTCTACGCGGTCAACGAGTGGAATCAATTACTAGTGGTACACTTAATGCACTTAGTTTTTGTACTTCTTAAGAAATATGCTTCTTATTGCTGCCAACAAGGTTATACACACCGTTTAATTAAATAACGAAAACTTAAAGTTATAATTCATGCTTTATCTCAGGACTGTGACATCTAGCAGTAACGCTACACTGCTTTTAATTTACTGTTGAGTTAAAACATCTCAAATAACCTTAATTTATTAATAGGTTTGTGAGCATTGAACTTTAAGTTATACTACGGAATATGGAAACTACAATCATGGTGACTTGTCGCGATATACAAAAAATATTCTTGAATACGACCATTTCATCATGATATACTGCGTCACAGTAAACTACACTGCGAAAAGTTTGTTTCAATTGGTTGAATCACTGGATATTCCCACTTCTGACTTTTATCAGTCGCCAGTACCAGTAATACATACCAACCTCAGTTCCAAAGAATACACTCAACACTATAACAAATCCGAGTGTTATATCACAGTCTATTTTAATACTGGTGAAACAGGAGAAAAATAGAACATCCAGATAAAATCAGGGCGCAGTAACACTAGATTCTAATAAAGTGTGTAATTAAATACATCAGAGGCGGACAGACAAAGAAATCACAAAAATTCATCTTGTTGGAAATATACTTAAAAACTACCACCGCAGTTATACTTTCCACAGGTAGTTAAGGTGAACCAAGGACAAATCAGATTGTCTCTAGTTGATTTCCCAAATTTTTCCCTGGTTCACACTAGTCAGCCTTGGTTGTCTGTGGCAGTAAATATGAATGAATACATTTACGACTCAGACAAATATACAAACAGCCAAATTCCTTGTATCCACAATCCACTAGCGATTACGATAGCACACTGATTCACGCAGTTTTGACGCGGACAGTACTCCCTTCAGTCAACACATTACTTTATCTCAAGTGGTATCTAAGCCAACGGATGGAACACATTTGTAACTGCATCATATCAGAAAATTCATATCTAAAACTGCATTTTTAGAATGACTACCAAACCTAAATAAATACTAAATTTAAGCGTAGACACTCCCGACTATTACGTTATAACCGCACTCTTTCAAAATCCTGTTAGTGTGAGAAAGAGTCACGCGAGATAGAGCAAGAAACATTTCAAAGAGTTTAACTTTTGAAGTGGAAGCTGAGACACAAACGCTATCAAAAACAGTTTCTACCAGTGAGACCAAGCGTACCAATCAGTAGTCTTTTAAATATCAGTCACAAGTGGTTGCGACAGTATTAAGCCGACGCATTCCTCAAATCATCTGCAAGGGCCTTCAAACAAATGGACAACACAGCAACCACTCGACTCATCCTAATCACCAATTCACATTAGTCAAACTGGTGCCTACGCAGATTAAATGGGACAGAGTAGATGCAAGATGTGTATAACCGGAGATTTTTCGAAGCGTCATTTTCAAAGTAAGAAGGATATATGAAAATGCATTCACGTTTCTTTTGAACACGATATGTGTAGCTTACGGTTGTCGAACCTAGACAATTGCTGGAGAAAACTGACGAAGATAATCACTAAATTCGAAGATGCATAGATCTGGACGCATAACTTACAACGACAATCCTAGTTAGTTAGTGACATGAAGGTAAAAACAGTGAAGTCATTCGCACCAGGTCAGTTTCTTAATTATTCAACAGAAGTGTACGTTCAAAAATCGGATATGATGCTTTGATGAGCAAATTACCTCGCTGTCGGTTCAGCTGAATATAAAAATATAATGATTTCTGAGAATGGTAACTGAGGTGGGATGTTATTCGACTTTTTCAAAGAACGACGGTTTTTGGCTACCTGTCAAGCTAACATCCACTATTCAGGCATGCACGTTATACCAACAATCTGAACTAATAAACACTAGTTTACTTGATGTGCGAGCAAAGAGAATACCAATTTACGTAGTGAATAGACTAACGCATATGTCTGTAGTTCCACTTCATAAGCAATACTTAAAGTTCTGTCATTTTACGTCGACGTTTGGCATAGGTTCGCCACCTGACAACAATAACCCAAAGCTATAAACAATTATGACTGTTGCGATGAACAATCATCCTCACAAGAAAGTACACTTGTCCAACTAGAACAATTTAATCACCAGGAAACGCATAAAACTATGAATATCCGTACTGTTTAAGAATAGCTTGATAGGGCGCTATGGCTTTTTTTGCTCGTCCTCTAGCTGCTTCTGTAGGCTTCTTCATCAGCTTCTGCCTCTTGTACCAAACTGCAGCTTTAGCTTTTCGGCGGTTCTCCATTTTCTCAATAATATTCTTGTATTTCCATCCAACGTCATTTGATAATCGCGACAGAACACAAAACTGTGACAAAAGTCAATTTTTCTTTTGTTAACCTACCTTGCGACCTGGTTTAAGTCGTATAACCCGTAAAGCTGATGGAACCACCATTCGTTTCTTCTTGTCGTATGGGGGAGGGATACCCTCGAAAACCTTCAACCTGTCAAGTGCAAGTTTACCACGATGAAGTTTATGTGGGAGCATTCCACGAACTGTACGCCAAAATATCTTAGCAGGCGCCCTGAAGTGATAAGGTCCTCTGGACGGATTAGTATTCATCCTCTTTTTCAAAAAGTCAAGATATTTCACTTGATACTGAATTTAGTACATAAAGAACTTACATTTATTGCGATAGAACGACCCAGATATATTGATATTCTCGCATCTTACCACAACAACTTTTTGCCCTTGCAGCAATGTCTTTGCCACGACAGCAGCAAGACGACCAAGTAAGTGGCCCTGTGCATCTATGATGATAGCCTGTGAGGACAAATCCATATAACAACACAACAACTACCTTTTTCTGGAAGCTCATGCTGACACGAGTGCAACTGTAATTACCGCCAGACGAAAATCAACAATGTAAACAACTACCATTCGGTGCCCAATAGATTACAAAATCCTCACTACGATATTGTTCATACGGAAGACTGATATTATTCTTATAATCTTAGGAACTTTATTTTCAACAACAGTATCAATTTAAAGTAACTTTGTTTCAGTCTTGTGTAAGCCTAATTTGTTGTCGTCACTAGCTTCTCAGTATTTAAAGACACACTTAACCTTCGTGAATTCCCAGTGTGATACCTACATTTCCGACTGATTTGGCTCAGTTAAATGCCATAAGACGAGGAAATACGTTGTTCTCACCAAGGTAATGGCATATAGCACCTTTGTTTCCCCAAATAATACACCAGACAGGTAAAAGGGGTACGAATAACATTATTTATAAACCGAGTGGAATAGCAAAATAGACCCTAACTTACTTTCAAAAATTTATTCGGCTTCACTCAGACTGGGTAAATAGAGTAGAATGGGAGGAGCTGATTCTGACAGCATATTCTGTTAATTGACAGAGTTGTGATAGGATCTGAAGTTCGCTTAGGACAAATCACTGAGGGCTTCGAACCCTGTTTCACATTGAAATTACTGTGGGATGAACCGTGACAAATAATATAGCTAGTTAGGAAAAAATTGTTTCAAAACAACGTCGGTTTTCGATTCGGTACGGGGGTAAAAAATGACATTGGATACCAAAATTACTGTACAGTTGGGCAAGGAAAGTAAGCTCAATAAATTTCACAGGTAATTTATAGAGTTGTGTGCTGAAGAGGACTGGCTATTTCGTCCTTTCAAGTAGTTTATGCTACTTTATTGATGGTATGTGCGTCAACGGCACAGTGGTTAGGACTGTCGCCAACCATGCACATGGTCCGAGGTTCGATCCCCTGCCGACGCACACCTGGTATCTATGGTTGGCCTGCGAAATTTGGGCTACTGATATCCATGCTGAAAATTCCATACTAGTACCAACAATGCAGTGTGGAATCAAGCTCTATTCAAAAAATTAAAATTAAAACGATTTCCATTATAATGCCAGACATTGCTGATCCTGGCACCAAAGAAGAAAACGTCATTGGCCTCTGGGTGAAGACTCTTGTGAAGCAGACACCCGTGATCCCCAAGGTTACATTCACCTCCCTACATTGTTGATATTCTTCCTCGGTTTTTACTGAGTTTGAAATAACGGGGTCCTCTTCGAGTAGTTGAAGCCTCTCATATTGAATAGTGTTATCGAGGAGGTGGTAATCTTGAATCCCGCCGTTTACAGAAGCTAATGGGAGTGCAACTCTAAAATTTCACTGCTAAACTCATCGGTCAATGCTGAAATCCAAAAAATGATTGAGCACAGCGTGTTTGGATATGGCGTCATCCCTACCGGAGTAAGCTACTTTCTTATTAAGTAACTGAAAGCCCACAGGTACTCCAAATACCAGCTGGCCGAAACTCAGAATCGCATCACCTCTGGTTTCCCAGGTGTTGCGCAGTCATTAGTCAAAGTAATATATCAGCGACTAAACATATTGACGAAGCGACTGATAATATTTCTCTTCCCTCCTTAACACACTGGAATTTCCACACCGATATTACCCATGGCTGACTTCTGAACCTATGCAGTGTCACTTAATTGAAAGCCTTCTTGAATAGGGATTTGGTTTCCCGTTTTATATAGCCTACTTGATTCTTGAAAGGAGCCTTAAATCCATAATGTCATGATGTTATGTTCCCCGAAGGACGGCCAAATGATTGGTATGAGATTCACTAGTTGAACTTTCAACTACACCAGATGTGTGCCTCACACTCACTCACCTACAACTTCGAACGACTATATGCACAGATCATTTTATTTGTTGGCCAAGAAACATTTATCTGTCTGCCACTACTGCTGAAACGGTTTGTCGAGTCTTCGTGAAGCGATGAATAGCAGTGACAATCAGCCAAGGGCAATTTTCTTTCTCCTACGTTCAAGGTGATTCTAGATGCAAGGAATACTATAAGTTTCCATGTTCCACCTAAGACTTCGTGAACTTCCTCAGTTATTAAATTCTTTTTCATTGGTTCTTCTAAGCATGTACTACACCCTGAAGATAAAAATATGCAATTAACATTATAAGAACCGGTTTGTTGAACGACACTGTTTATCAATAAACTATTCGCTCAGGATAACATCAGACGAAAGGACTGAGACCGAATTATCTATAACCGAAGTCGACGGACTTTCATGCACCGAATTCTACTAACATCTACTAGTAAATAGCCAAAGAGTACAACTGTATGTTGTATTGTAGAGACCGGACACAAAATTGATATCCTCTAGCAAGTGTTCTATCCTCTCTCATGTCGCTATAGCCCTTGAATGTTCAGTAAAGCTAAGAGGGCGGATCCAAATTATTCAGAAGCTGGCCCTAGAAAACAACACATCAGACATCATTTTCCGTGAAAAATTCCATTTTAGGGTGAAATCTAGCCACTCAGGTAGTAGTCACATCACTTCAATTTCCTTCTCTTAACATTGCACGAAGTAATCTTGCGATTCAGGATCAGGTCAGTTTGAGTATTTATCACAAGATTACCCAAATAATTTCAGCACATAATTGTTCGCCTGTAAATGAATGACGCCAGTTTACGGGCATTATTAACATGCTAAATCATGTATATTAAGTAAGGAAGCCCACAATACACAGCCGCATTTTTAAGATAAGGCCGACGAAAAAACATCTATGAAGTCACCGTAAATTTTTATTGTTGTGGAATAAAGTGATTATTATTATTATTTATACTTCTAATACATCTGCATGTAACATTTTGAAGTTTTCTTCATTTAACGTCTTAGCAACTAGGGTGTACTGTCACTCACCAAGTTCTCTAATGCTTCGTCTTTCCCGTCAAAACTCACTTACCAGAATATTATTGGTTTTTTCACAGTTTGTGCTGGTACCTGATGGTCAGTATATGTAAACTAGTTTTGTTGTCAAGCGTACGATCATCTGAAAGTCAGTCAATGGATTTTTCTAGATCCCGTGTATTCAGCCTACTCTAAGCCACCACCATTCTGTGAACCGCCTACAAGCCCCTATTTTGAAGGTCTGTCGCGGTTCCAGGTCATGTGCTGACTGATATCACGAATGATGAATTTGCTGATGTCAGTTTCTAGCCACCTTGGTTGCTTCCCTGCATCATAAACGTCTTGATTTCATGGAATGACAGTTGTATCAATCTCTCTCGAAATACTAGTGCCATGGTTATGCTTCTCACTCAAGGGTACCCAACTGATATGTTCCGTCCCATGTTGTGTGGGTTCTGTACTAAAATAGTCGTGGGGCACTCATGCTGACTTGGAAGTTAAGCAGGCAAAACCTGGGTAAGTGTGAAGACAAACTATTTTAGGGACTGCCACGAGAGGGCCACCCGACACCCAAGGTAGGATTTTACCAGGCTGCTGGTAGGAGCATGTGGGTCTGCTCACCTGTCCTTGAGAACCCCTGAAATAATAAAAGCAGGGAAGACGCTGGTTAAGGGAGAAAACAATTTCGCCAGATACAGAAGAGTACTCCACTTCCCGTACACAGAAATAAACAATTGGCACACATAATAATATGCATTTATTCCTGTCCATGGAGGATGTATCAACGTATATGGGTAGCTAATGCACACAAGAATAAATCCCATGGTCTCAAAAAGGAAAGTTCAGACCAAGCGCTGGGTTTTTTATGCCAGACAAGCCTGACAAAAACAAAACCACCTGCTTCTTGAGGCTTCATATGCATGCAACCACACATATATGTCGAACTCCTTAATCAAATATGCTTGAGTGGTCGTAGCGTACTGAGTCTTGGAGGCACTTAAAATCTACCTGTCTATCTCTAGACCAGGAGGTAACCTTAACTAGGAACAACATTACCTTACCGCCCTTTGAACTCACTGGAATATAGTCCCAGGAAAGTCGAGTTAAAAAGTGTGGAGTTATATGACTAGGAACATTAGAGACAAACTGCGGAAATTATGGTGACTGTGTTAGAGTAATCAATCTGAAAATTCTTACATAAACGACTTAATTAAAATTCTGATAATTCTCTCAGCTCACCTTGTGATTACTGTCATTTTCTCCTGTGCTCTATGTCATTGTTCTAATGTCAGCATATCTCCCCGCTGTGCGTTTGTGTTCTCGACTGATCTGTATTTTGATACTTCTTTTTCATGTTGCCATTGACATTATGTGGTTTCGCCCGAGTAAAGTCTTCGTGAAGTAGCTGCTGTGCTTCGGGAAGTATTTTGCACCTTGAACGACAGTTGGCACATATAAAACGTAATTACTAAGGAAACTGAATTGAAATTTTCTTGCTGTTTGTTCGAAATACTTCCTGTGTTTCAGTTTGCGATCGAAAATCTTTAGCATAGCCAGTGAATTCACTGGTAGCTTGACATTTTCAACTTCGATAAGGAGTGGAACATGTTCAAATAGCTGAAAGAAATCTTACGTGGTACCCATTCAGACAACTGGAGCTACAGTGGCCATAGATAATTACCGTCCCATCAACATTACTTCCGTAGTTTCACGTGTAATGGAAAAGATTGTAAAGAAGCAAATTGTTCAGTATTTGCTCTCGAGTGACTTAATATTCCCTTTTCAATACGGTTTCCTAAATAGATCGTGCATTACTTGTCAGTTAGATTGTTTTGACCACATTACTGAATGTGTTGGCAAAGGTCGTTCAGCAGAAACATTACTTCTAGATGTTAGGAAAGCTTTTGATAATGTCCCACATAACAGACTCATATTGAAACTCCTATCTTATGGAATAAGTCGAAGGCTACTTGAGTGGATAACTTCCTTTCTTACAGGAAGGTAACAGTTAGTTAAAGTCAACCATCACTTATCTACATCCAAACCGATAACCAGCGGCGTGATACAAGGTAGTGTTCTTGGCCTTACCTCATTCATTGTATTCATAAATGATATTGTCTCTATGATCA